CTTTGCCCAAAAAACAAACAATACTTTTTTAAAAAGGCCCTCAAATATATACAAAAAGTTACTGCAAAGAGTTTCCAGATAACAATTCAGTATTATAAGAAATATTTGTAACCATTCAAAAATTTTAACATCTAAAAAGGTTTCCAAAATACACACATAGTATTAAAAAAAAAAAATTGAAAGAAACTCTATGTCAAGTATAACTCAAGATAAATACACATCTGCAAGTAAAACTGTAAAATGCTTCATACAGGGGTAAACATTTATATCAATCATCTATAGCTAGTAACTGCACACGATTGTCCCTTTGAAATTCATCCTAGAAACACAATCCATCATCCCTATATCTAAGATCTCAAACAGCCCTCTGAGCACTTGAGCGATATAGCAACCTCAATGGACAGCACTGGTTTTGCAGATAAGAAAGAGATATGGGTGGAAGCCCACTTGGGAGTGGAGTGATAGCTGAAAGAATGATTTTTCTATGGGGATAGTTCAATCACATTTTAAAATATGTTGGCAAAGGCAAGTGGAAAATATATGTCTATCTACTTAACTTGAAAAACACGTGTTGATGATTTATTGCTTACTGTTCAGTGGACAACTCTTAGGATCCAGAACAGGACAAAAAAAAATCTTCTGTGTAACTGCAGGACAAAGACCACCAGTCTATGGAGTCTGATGTTTCCAAAAGCTCTAAACTTTTAACGTTTTAAGTAGGTTTCGGGTTTTTTTAAAAAATGCTAGAGTGTCACAGGTATGCAATCCATGTATAATCTAAATTTCTTGTTATATAAAAAGGTAAAATGTACATAACACTTTTAGGTATAAGGCTTCTCTCAGGCATATGTAACTTCACATTTTTAGTTTAAAAACTAAGTCCCATATAATGGGGAACTTCAAAATACACCTAGTTTCAGAAAGAATATATACTCTTGTGTATTTATCTGAAATTAAATAGCAACTTTGAGACAAAAATGCCTCAAACATTGCTTGTGTGGCATCATTTTGCATCTGTTGTAGCAGCAGTAGGAACTGGCTAAAATGGGGCCATCCTTTAAACGACTAGGATATTTCTTCATCATCTTTAAATGAAGTTTTTGTAATAACTTCATTGTAGCCTCATTAGGTTAAAGCAGCTAAAAACCTATGTCACACATTTCAAATTCCTCAAACATTTTTCCAGAGGTGTGCCAAATTTGATATGAAATGTTATGACCAACTCATTAAACAAATTACAGGGCGTTTATTTGTTTGATTGGCTTTTGTTGCTGGTTTTAAAGAAATAAATGGAAGTTGAAAAAAAAGGTTTAAAAAAGGTGAAAATTTTAAAAAGTTAGAATAGGACAGAATATATTGGTGGGCTGTCAACAGCAAGCATCTGAGGTTGAAAATCTAGTTTGCCAAATAAATGCACAGAGCCAAACTGCTCTCAGGTACGCCCCTAAAGAATACTCAGTTTAGGGAGGCCTGTATGGATTAAAAACTCATTTTGTTGATGCTTGCTTCACTCCTGCCAATACTGTCTACTAATGCCTTCAACAATTGCTAGCTGATGCTCTCAGTGCAGAGCTAGTTAGAGAACATCAGAAAGCAGTCACTAAAATTTAAAAGATAAATCAATTCCTCCTTTTTCCCATCAAAAATCTGCACTTTTACCTTTTTTTTTTCTAATTTGGAAAGAGCTGGTTAGATTAGGTGATTTCTCTTTGTGTGGGGAGGGAGGGGGTAGAAGTAATCTAGATGTTGTAATCAATCATCCTTTCTTTCCTTTGAAGTAAAAATTCAGAAAAGTCCCTTCTGTGCCACTAACTAAAACCCAATGATCATAAGCTGTTACACACAATTATGTGGATGTGGTTTTCCAGCCGCTCCCACTGCACAGGCTCAGTGTGGAGCGAATGCTCGGGGCCTGAGCTGCAGTGCAGTGCAGGGAGGGGCGGGGGATCCGAGCTGGGCGCTCCTGCCCGGGCCGGGCCGGGCTCAGCCTGAGCAGGGAGGAGATGCCCGGACAGGGGCTCCGAGCTCGGCGCTCCTGCCCTGCCCGGGCCGGGTTCACCCTGCGCAGGGACGCGGTTCCCGCTGCCCCCGGCACCGCCGGATCTGTGCCTCGCCTCAGGCAGTAAAACCACGGCAGTGTCACTCCGTGCTTCCCCACACCTTGTGTTCTTCATCTGCTTCCCCCCAGCGCCAGGGCAGGGGGAGATCTGCTCTCCTCTTTGTTACAGATATGCTAAGTATCCCTTAAATTATATGTCTCCTGCCTAGGAACACATCAATAATATAAATACTGAACTCTCATAAGTATACTCTCAAGAATTATAATGCTACACCTATAGACGTTGTGTTAAAGTAGATCACGTGTATTTTTAGTATAATCTAAAAATCCATACGCTAAAGGGATTGCCTCGCAGTGTTGAATATGGATAAACAATTCTTAATAGCGCACTGTCATGAGAATACCAATGCTTATAATGGTGTCTTTTAATCAGCTTTTTGTCAGAACCTGCTGGTGTGTGATCTAGTGATACAGCTATTTCAAGAGTTGTGGTATTTTACTGGTTTTAGTGGTTATCATAACAGGGAGATAATTTCAGTACTGAAAAAAATGTTTGATAGCAACATCTTAGTTTCAGGGAGAAAATAAAATAACGTTTTCTCTTATCTTCATCTAAGAGGGTTTTTCTACATGTTGTTTAGCTAGATGTGAACCATCTAGGTGATTTTTTTTTTTTTTTTGTTCCTGTACTATTAAGTGCTCAAGAGCAAAAAATAGATCTGGTCTAAAATGCTCCTCTTTCAAAATTACTCATGCTTGAAACAAACTATTGAGATTAATCCTAGAGGTCAAGCTTAGAAAATCCACCCCTAGATTTGCTTGTGTATTTTCTTATTTGTATAGACAGATTAGTATCTTTGTGGAGAGAATTTGTCTCTAAGTTAATTTGTGAATCTGTGCAAAAGAATGTGTTAGCATTTGAAAATGCTAAAACTGCATATCTTCACTGAGGCAACTGAACTGTTTATTAGTGTTACTTTCAATAATATTATTTTCAACTATTTTAGTTGGAGTTGCTAACTGGGCAAAAGTAGTTTCCAAGTGATTAATTTAGTAATTCTATTTTAGCATTACACAGCACTTCTCATCCAGTGATGCCAAAACACTTAAGAGATATTAAGTAAACCTCACAACTCTCCTGTGAGGTAGGTGTGCTAAAGTATTATCACCCCCTTTTGCAGTTGGGGAAACTGAGGTCCAGAAGGATCTTGTGACTTGCCCAAAATCAGGGAGCTATGGGACAGGTGTGGTCAGAAGCCAGGAGTCAGGATGCTTATCCATTGCTGTGAGCAGCAGGCTGGGTCACTCAGGCTGCCCATAAATAATAGAGTTTTCAAGACATGTACCTGCCACTCCCACCAAACAAGCAGATGCAATTTTGCCCTGCTTATAGCAAAGCAGGGAAATGGCAAAAGCTGGACCCTGCAGCAGATTTGTCAGGAGCTTCATGTTCCCTAGGTGAGTAGTCATGATAAGTTCTCTACTTTCTTTATAAGAGCTCGTCTTGACATACTGGTAACATCCTGCTATCACTTGGCATAAACCCCCCACTTTCTTTGCATTACAGAGCTAGTCCTCAGAACACATTTAGTTCACATCAAGTTATTTAGGATTTAAAGTATTTTCTCTAAGTATCATTCACACAAATCAATCTCCCTAAAGGAAACTTCATAAAAATGTAAATTGCTGATGTAAACCCCCCCCCCCCAACCTCAAACATTATTCCTCTAATTTTTTTAGTGAATGCTACAAATTAATTGCTTGTTGTGTCCTTTTGCCAATGTACTCTCACACAGACATACAATCAGGATACTGTCTCGAGGTACTTTCAGTTTGCCAATCCCTGACAAGATGTTGTTTGCAGCAGGCTGTCCCTGTGCAAAGTTCTACCTGAAATGGGACAATGAAATAGAATTCCTAAATTTCTCCCCAGGTATGTAGGTCTTCTTCAGGAAGACATAAAGAAAGAGGGTTATATAGAGTGTTCTCCATGCCTTAAAACACCCCTATGGCTAACATGTTTCATATCATAACAAATTTCTATAGTAGAAAACAGGACATAAAAATATTTCCAGCAAGCGGCTTTTAAACTACTATAAATAGTAAGTTTGGCTAATCTTTTACTTAAGGATATTGGGGTCAGTTTTAAGTATTCTCATCCCCTTATTCATAGTAAATTTAGTGTGCTTGTAGCCTAATGAACATGTCATGCACGAAGAAGGGGCCATGTCAGTGGGATTATATGACAAGAGAAGGATCTCGTAGTTGCATAAGCAAGCCAATTTTGTCTCCTACAAAAACCTCTTGGAATCTTATGGCATTCCCTTCCTACCCAACCCACGCCCCTCAAACAATTATTCACTTTTTTTTTCATGTCCTGCAAAAATTATTTTGCCTAAGTCCTGCCCAAGAGATGGTAGCAAATAGAAAAAAGTCCAAGAAATCAGCAGCACAAACCCCTTAAGACTTTCTAAAACTGGGAAAGCAGTAATTCCCCTTTTATGCTGTGGCTTGTTTCATCTTCCTTTGTCTTGTCATATAATAAGAACAGTGTTCATGTTGTGGGTGAGTGCTTCCAATTAGTGGCCCCACAGTTACTGAACCTCTGCAAAAGCCATACATGTAACAAATATTCCTTGTGAATATTATTCCTTGCCTTTTGAAAAGTACTTCATTTCACCTGGCTGTGATATAGGGTCTGTGTAAACAATCAGCAGAACCTGTAACTGTAGTTCTGTTGTGAACATCATTAGTAACACCTTATGTGTGTACATATATAAATTTACATATATATGTATACAAATCATAGTCCTGTAAATACCTATTGCATGCGTGTGCATGCACAGGAGAAATGTTACATTCTATTAATGGTAAGGCATATTATTAGATAGGCAATATTGGCAATTATTTTAGCTTTTATCTTGATCTGTTGTGCTGCTGCCAGAGAATCTCTCAGGATGATGGGGATGGGAAGAGGCCACGGTGAAGGTTTATTGCACACGGCGGCAGTAGTAGCCCAAGACTTTGCACTTCTCACACAGGTGCTGGGGGTGTTCTTTGCTCTGGTCTGACACATCCAGGCCGTCCGGCTTTTCCAGGGGTCTCTGCAGTGTTGGGAAGGAAATTAGGTTAGATCCAAAGTTTTGTCCTTGGTACTCTTTATTCAGCATGTGAAGTCTACTGTTAGGCCCGAACTGAGCTTTCTACTGGTAATTAAAAAGGTACCATGTTCCTTTCCTGAAGGTATGGAGTGATTTTTTCAGCCCTTGAGCTCTACGTTGGTTCAGAGTGACCTCACAATTCAATATCATTCTTTATAAAGGTGCTGTTAACTTTGTTGCAGACAAATTACAAAAATACTGGATTGAGGACTTCAGTTCTAAAAAGCAGTAACAAAAGAGTTCATTTGCTTAGCTCCAGTAACTTAGATGTCCCAAAGGCACTAACACCTAGAGCCTGGGAATCCCATTGCCCAGCAATGCAGAGCAGGCATTATCAATGTTAGGACTAGCTGCTACATGAAGAAAACTGTCATACTCTGCACAGATATTACATAGCTAAATGGTGCTTTCCCAATAGGTAGTCCCATGGTTTTGAGGCTGAAAGTTTTGAAGCAGAGCAGCTGCAAAGCTTTTAACAAAATGTAAAAAAATTCTAAACTTAAACAAAAACAAAGCAAAATCCAACATCATGACACAATCCTTTGCACTGAATCTGAGTAATAAATGATGTACTTTTAATAATATTCATGAAATCAGCATGCTGGAGGAAATGAAGCTGATTCATTGTTGTTAGGTATTTGTGCTTTCACTTTTCATGGTATGTAAAAGGCCTCACAGTCATTCTGAAAATAAAATACCCAAGTTAAATATTGTGACAAAGTCAAAGGTTTGGGAAGTCTGATAGGTAGGGAAGCGATAGAGATGTGAGGTAGAAGTTAATAAAGTGTACCATTTGCTTGGAAAACACTCCCAAATTCCCTAACCCATAACTGATCTGTTTTCATGAAATGTATCTGAAAGGCTGTTTCATTGCACAGTGCCATGAAGGCAGCAGTTCTTCATGGGACTGTGGTAGACACAGCATGTGGTGTGAAATCTGAAAACTAGCCACAAGCTTCTCACTGTTTTTACAGGGATATTAGACCCTTGCTTATATCTTCAAAATGTGATTCTTGGAGCAGTGGGCGAGTAAATAAAAATTACACCATCTTGGCCATTTATGTCTTAACACCTCTCTTAATCTTAAAGACTTTTCTTTATCTGTAAGGTCTTAAAGTACACCTGATCATTTAAGATTTCATTTATAAGTTCTTTGTCAAGCCACCTACCTGAAACTCTGTGGACAGGAACAGATATATTTAAAGCTTTTTTTGGCTATGTAATACTGCAAGAACTGCTCATAAATCGGGGAGTAGAAGGGTTTCTCTCTCTGAATAGCTAAAATGACGCAAAACATATTGTATTGTCTTGAACAAGGGATGTCAGTGAATTCTTGCTTGCTTGTACTGGATTTTAGGTGCAACACTCTTATTATGTTGCACATCTAGGCAGAACAATATATAGGAGTGATTCAGTAGTGATTGTCAATGGTTTGTTTCTGATTTGGTGTTTTGAACCATGATATTGTCCTGCTCCACATAGGTCTTTGAGTCTAACTTTACATTTCAACTGCAAAGTGGATTTCCTGTGTAACATGAGGAAGGTAGATGCACTCTTCATCTCTGCCCTGCAACCCTACTGAGCTTTAAACGTTTCATGTCACTATGTTGAGATTTGAGATCAGAACCAGCAATTCTGTTCCTAAGCTTGCAGTCCAAGCACTGGTCCAGATGCTGCTTATTCCACAAGACAGGCAAGTTGAATAAGTGTGCTTGGTCAGAAGACTCCCATTCTACCTCATCTACCACTTATTCCACCAACATCTGCCCACAAATATTCTTCAAGAATTTGCATTACATAAATATACAAAGATGAAGCTCAGCTTCTGGAATCCCAGGGGTTAATTTACACTCTTGAACAGCGAATGACAGTTTTGAAATGCTACACTCGAAACAGGCTATTTGACTCAGCTCTGATTGCTTCTACATGCTAGCTGTGCTCTGATTAAAGAGAAAAATACAGCAGTTATCATGTTTATTGATATAAGCCAGATTTTTTTTTTTAATATGCAAGGCCTTGGGAATCATTTTTCCTGGAAATAGTGCAAAGGACATTGGGAATGCCTTGAAGCGCCAAGAGTTTTTGGATGGTTTTCAGAAACAATAGCTCTCCGTAGTTTGCTTTCCCCCAGCGTTGATTGAGCTCAGCTTTTTGGCCTGCGAAGCATTTTGATTTCAGAACTGTTATTGTTACCAGTATGTTACGACACAGGCTGGGGAGAGAGGGGTTACAAATGCAGGAAAGCAGGTTGCCAAGGGCCAGCTGGAAGGCACGAAGCCGTGCGGAGCCCAGGCTGCACTTCTGGTGAGGTGGTGGAGGGCTGAGGCTTTGAAATTGGTGGTGTACTTGTGTGGTTTGTGTCTCAAAACCATTTCAACCCAACTTTTGCATAAAATGAAATCCCACTTCATCTCCATTTGCCGTTTTCTCTTCATGGGTTTCTTGCACCCTGAGTAGCAAGTGTTCTTGTCCTGCTGCTGTCTGTTACTAATGGAGGAGAACCTAAAAGTAATAACCTTATACTCTTGGAACTTTTCTTACACCATGCCAAAAGTGTAGGATGTTAGTCACGGAGCTGTGTGTCCATCAGGGCTGGGCTAATCCCCAGCTCTGGTGTGGTGCAAGGAGAGGGCACTGGCACAGGAGTGTGCAGCAGGGCCTGGCTGTTGCACGCTGTGTCAGCTCTGGGGCTGCCCGAGTTCTGCAGGAGGCACCAGGAACTGGGGAGGCTGCAAGAGCCCTGCACTGCCTCTGAGCACTCAGCCATGCACTTGGACAGGGTGTGGAGAAGGGGACAGGCTATTTGGCTGATAAGTTAACTCTTTTCCTTAGAAAGCAGTGAAATGGGGTTTGTAGAACAACAGTAAATCCTGCTATGTTCCTTAGGGGAAAGGTATCCTTTTTTTCCATTAAATGGAGACTTTAACTGTAAAAGCATCCGCAGCTGTATTCTTCTGGACTTCACTTTTGTGCATCTTTGTTTAATTTTCTCCTGGTAGTTGCAGGGTGGAAATAATCTTGTGCAGCTCCACCAGGAAAGCATTTGGTGGTGGTGAATAAAGATATTGCCACAGGGGAATGAAGCTGACAGAAATTCATATTTATATATCAATTCCTGACCTGCAAATTAACTTTTGACTATGAGTTATTGCTGTCCCAGTCTAGATGTACTGCATGACCTGTGCATTCCTCAACAGTCAGCTGAAACCCCAAAGCTCTCAAACAAAAAACTCACCCTTATGAAGTGTTAGGTGTTAAAGAAAGCATCACTAGGACATCCTGAGGGAAATTGCTTCCACCAAGGTGTAGAATGGAATAATGTGCCTGTTTCTGTTTGTATTTTCTGCTGTGGAATGGAACAATTTAATTGCACCACTGATGGATAGAGGATCACATCAGAATTCAAATGAGAGAAAACACTTAAAAATAATTTTCTGGACTCATTTACATCAAATCTTAATGCAGCAAATGAGATGATTAAATGTCAGATTAGGAATGTGAATAGAAAGATTCTGCAGCTATTGCTGGCAGGATAATTGTTAGGTTAACAGTCCTAAAGAGCCATGCTTTTCTCAAGAAACATATGATATTGTGAATTTGTAAATTTTTAGTCCAATAAAAGAATTGGGCCTGGGGAAGAAAAGATTAAGTGCAATGTCCATCTTGTCTGCTTTTCTATCTGCCTGGGGGAAGAGAGACATGACCAAGGCCCTGGGCTGTCGCCGTGAATCCAAGAGACAGTGATAAGAAGGCAGCAGATCAGAGGCAGGATGCTTAAAGAGAGCAGCATGCCTCTGGGACAGGCCAACTAGGAATGAATGATAACAGCATGAGGGAAATGGTGAAAATCTCTTTTTTAAGAGTTCAGAAAAGCAGCAGTCTGAGGTGCAGTGTATTCCCATAGCTGGAGTACACAAGCGTGGGCATGCTGGGGAGGGTTTATTAAATCCAAAGAGTCAAAAGATCATACTTGTAGGCTTCAAACTGCTGAAAAGTTTATTGGGCTTGAGTGATCATACCCACCCCTCCCCATACTGAGGGAAGCAAGGTGGCTGTGGTTGCACTCAGATATGGGAATTATGATGAGACCACTGAATTGCCCATGAAAGTAATAACTTGAGTATCATGAGGTATGTATTTACATACCAAATTATTTCCAGTCCAACAGTAAATTCCTGACAGCTGGAAGAAAATAGTGTCCAAGAGGACAAGTCAGTCACCAGATGGCTGGTTCTGCACCAGTGCAACAGCTGTCATCACAAACAGCACTGGCCTTTGCCACAAAGTCGGAGAAGAAGCCTTGATAAGAGGCCAGCCAGGAAATAACCACGGGCGCAGATGTTGCTGCTATAGTAGGCAGGGGAAGAAAATGAGAATTCAGAGCTTGGCATCTGGGCTGTTACACTGCCAAGAATGCTGGTGAATGACTATAAGGACTGGCTCTGTTGCTGAAGCAGGGTAAGAAGGAGCATAAACAACCACAAAATCCAAATTCCTTGGAAGAACAGGAGAGGTTTAAGTCTTGTCTGAGATTCCTGCTTATGTTTAGAGTAGCTAAAGTAACTACCTGGGAAACAACTTTTGAAATTGCTATCGAGCAAATTTGTCTGGATAGCTCTTTAACTTCCAGTAAGGACTGAGCTCAATGGGCCTATGGTTTTTGCCCCATGTTCTGTGTATTCCTGTAAGCACTCCCATGGGAAGCTTTGTCACTTGAGGGAGTGAGGTGAAAATGCAGAAATAGGAACACAGTGGAATAATTTAGCAAAGCTTGGTTGAGGAGCAGTTTTGCAGCTCAGGTGTGACAATCACCTGATTCCCTACCTGGTGGATGAGCTGGGAATGGCAACAGCCCTCCTGTCAGGCCCCTGTGTTACCTCTTGGAATACATGCTCCACCATCTCTTTTAAATACAGAGATTTAGAGCTGTATTTATAGAGCACTCTAAAGTATATACACAGCTGTAAAAGTGCTGAGAAGACTTTTCCTGCCCTAGAGAGATTAAAAACTCATTCTCACAGCTAGGCCATGTGGACTAAGAGCATAGGGCTGAATTGAGACATTCCTTGTGGGGAACTTGCCCAGGATAGTTTCCTGGAGTGAATGAGCCTCTGGGAACAATGAGCAGGTGGCAGGAAAGTGTGGCTGCTCTCCTCTCCAGGGACTCACTAATGAAAGATATGCATAGGAAATCAAGATTTGAGCATAGCTGCACGAGCCATTCACAGAGCCAACATATGTGCTTGAATGGCTACCCCAGAGCTATCCAGAGTGGAGATTATTATCTTCAGTACTCTGATATTATTGCCTGAGCCAGTTACATGGGAGTACTTCAGCACCAAACCATTCTTTGTGAGACATGGACAAACCTTACAGTACTGGGAAGTCCATGGATTTGGGAAAGTGGCTGGGGAAGATGAAATACAGCTACAGAGATGAGGATGGGAAAAAAGGGCAGGCCTGGCAATTGAGAAGAAACTCCTAATTCACTACAATGAATATTGAGCAATCCTGAAATAAGATTTTCAAATTTTTGTCCTAAATTGGGCACATGGATCCTGCTTTCCTACAGTGACAGTGATGCAGCAAGGCTTGGTGGCCTGAGATTGGGTTTCAGCTATTTAATAGGCTCTGCAAGGTTTGATCTGTTTGGTGACAAACTGGGACAATGCAGAGATAGTCACTAGGCCATACAAGAGGCTGGGGAAGAATCCCCAGAGGTGACTGTTTTGTCTTGTCGATACACACACACCTTCCTGTGTCTGCCACTGCCTGGGACCAGGTGTGGAATGGGGGAGTTGGTTTGACCTGGTGTGAGCTTTCCTGATGAATGTACTGAATGGAAACTTTCTATCATATGCCCTCGCCAGGGAACTGTGCTCCTTGACTGTTTTAGATATGGGCTGAGATATTTATAGATTTTACAGTTTTGGAAGCTCTTGTAACTTGACAAAAGGTGACTTCATGTTGAGGGACCAGCAGTCATTTTCATCTGCTGATAAAATATCCATTACTTTTTAAAATTATGTTCCAAGATATATATATATATATATATTTTTTTTTAGTTAGGCTACAAAAAAATGTTTACAAAATGGTAGGGCAAACAGTAAGAATAGGAGATGATGAATTCCAGCACATTGCTGAAGAGAAATACTGACAAGATTGCTTGAAAGGAGAAATACTTTATTTCACTAGAAGTAAATACTGTCTGATCTTGAAAGGAAGTCAGACTGCTACAGTTCATCTGTTTTTTGTTAAACTGAAGAAAAAACTTAATTTATTGATTATTTGTACTATGATCAATCACATCACATATTGTGGACATTGCTGTTTGTAGCATCTGTCTGCTGTTTTCTTTAACTGCAACACTTTATTTTTTCAAATGGAGTTAAAATGACACAAGAGAATCATGGTGTGTAGGGGGAGGCAAGATATTTTCTCAGGTGAATTATTTAAGTTGGAAAACCTGTTCAGTGGAAGATTCAGATGAGAATGCAAATACTCTGATCCGATATAATAAATGCAGAAGGCACACATAATGAACTGAGGACATCCACTGAGAGGGAAGTGAGGGCTTACAAACATCTAGAAATGCACAGGAAATCAAACATGAATGAGGCCTCTGTCATGGTAGATACCAACAAGATAACGAAAATCTAAAGAATAAATAGGAAACATACTTAGAAAATGTTAAAGTGGTGTAGCAGTGCTATTTAAAAAAACCAAAACAAACTATGTAAAGTGAGCAAGACTTTGTTGTGCTTTAATTCTCAAACTAGAAATATTGAAATCTAATGAAATTGTTCACTGTGTTTTTACAAAATACAGTTTTTGGTATAAGAGTACCAGTGACTAGATACATTTTCCAAAATGGAGCAGAATAGCTCCCCACTGATAAATGTTGATAAATGTTTAGAGAGCCTGGTGTGGCACTGGAAGCATGTCCAAACTCCATGTATGGGATAGCAGACAGGCAGCTGTGCCAAGCAGCAGCACAGACCTCCTGCAGCCTGGCAGCTCTCTGCTGCTGCTGCTGCCTCTGTGCATGAATTGATGCTGCTCCCTTCACTGCCTGCCTGCTGCTGTTGTGGTTCATCAGAAGCAGCACAGGACCCCTCTGGAAGAATGAAAAGGACTAGAAAGGATGACAATGGTAACACTGAGAAATAGAAGCAGATGGAGGTGAGGCAGTGACAAAAGTTTGTAGAATCTTTCAGCTGGAGGTTCAAAGTTCACATTTTGGTGAAGAGCACTAGTGACTGGTTACAAGTTATTTATATTGGGAAGCCTAGCTGAAATTCACTCTTGTCTTGAAATGTCAGATAACTGCAATACCTGCTGCTGGGACAGGAACATATGGATAGACACGTGCTCTTTCTTCCACATCCATGAGTTATGGTGTGCTTAGAGAATAGCATGGAAATAGTGATGGGGTTAACTGTGGAGAGATGCACTGCACATGCTGGGATGGTTCCCCAGAAAAGTGCATTGTATGTGGCTTGGTGGCAAGCACAGCTTATGCAAGCACTGCAGATGGCAACCCTCCCACAGTGTGTGTCTGATTTAGTACTGCTGTGCACACTGGACTCCTCCAGCCCCGCCACGAGGGGCAGCTCTGCACAGTGGCCTACTTGCAAAACTTTATTATAAAAATGAACACTTCTAAGTCTATAATGCCTCTGTACAGTGTGGATGGGATACTTCTTGAATGATTTCTTGACCCTTTGAACATCAACGTAAATGATGAAAAGAATTTTGAAGAACAAGACAAGTATTGATAAACTTATGCTATAAATGGTCTTGTGCTGTCGATGGTCCTGTAATTTCTCTCATGCTCAAGACCTTATTCCATGCATGTGGTAAGTGACTCAACCTGGATTTTGGATTTTTTAGATAAGCTGTCAAAACAGAGGCAAGGAACAAGAGGCGTTGGAAGCTCTGAGATTCTTACGTTAAATTAGTGTCATTAACCAATAAGTTTTGTAGGCAAGAGTCATCTTAATATTGTTCTCCTGTATCACTACTCTTTGTAAGTAGAGATAGCCCCTTGAGAAAATCCAACAAGTGAAAAAAGCAGTACACATGCTGAAACCAGTGCAATGAAACAATAAATTGGTGTAAATATGAAGAGAATCAGAAGAACTAAAAGGCCAATTGCTATTGCTGAACTTTTTTTACTCTTAAGATTAAAAAGCCCCACAGTCTCTTTCTATAAGAAAGGCAGGTAAAGATTTTGGGTTTGAGGTATTTGTACTGAAAGAAAGAACATTCAAATTTTGCAACTCTGATGACACCTGTCCAGATTTCCAGGACTGAGACAACTCATCTGGGAAACATTCTCTGCGGTGTGTTGCAGCCCATGTCAAGTTCTTTAAGTCTTACCCATGCTTTACAAAGACAACAGCATTCCTAGCTCCAAGCCTGTTGCCATCAGGTCTGCATTTCTCCTACCTGTTTGTGAGGATAGACATTAATGTGGCACTTGATACATTCTTGTCCCATGTTAGCCCAGGAGTTTCCACTCATCCATTTTCTCTTGCATTTGGGGCACTTATATTCACCAAAGCAGCGTTTCTTGCCCTGGTATGGTGTCAGGCCTTCTCCTTTTGGACGAGCCTACAAAACAAAGGGAAATAGCAATGAATGACTGAAAATGGGTGGGTGTGGGTGTGTGTAGTAGAGAAATAAACATTTTTTTAATTAGGAAACTTTGGACAGAAGATACTGGAGGCAAGTATGAAGGACATGTCCCTTTAATGAAGAGTTGATATGTTGAAGTTAGAGTTCAACAGTTCTGAGAGTGGTTTCTATAAGAAGAATTCAAAAGTTCACATTCAAATGTTTAGAAATAGACCCTTTCACTTTTTGATTAAATAGTTTTAATATTAGTTTCATTATGATAAAATCATCTCTATTGAGTATCTATCACTAGCAATATATATGTCATCAGGGGGAGTAGCTCATTAATAATAAAGTACTACTTTTTTACTAGAAATTCCAGTTTAGAAATCTAGTCTATTTTCCACTAAAAACCTGTAGTTAAGAAGACTTTTAATACTTCTGCTTTTCACAGCCTATATGTTATCATATGGGAGTGCACAAACTGGGATTGAGTATGAAGGAAAGACAGTCTGACTAGTGGAAATAATAACTTTCATTAACTTTATCTGGTTTCAGGCTCTTGGTAAATGGTTTCACTATTTCTGCCTTTTGAAGGAAACAGGAAAGGATTCTCAAACGGTGTGTTGTGATGTCTGAATTTTAATGTCCCTTAAAGAAAGCCTTTTGATCTAGGGAAGCCAGTCGAGTTGACAATGACCGTACGCAAATACCAGGTTTATTTTTTGTACCTGCATTCACTCACTAAAACTGTGTGTTGTGCATAACAAAAGATGGTGAGGTATGTGAAGATGAGGGTGTTGCATCCAGCTGTGCTAGGATAGCTGTAAAGATGAAGCTGTTTTCCCAGAGTCCCTAGCAGGTGTGGAAACACTGTCCATGTCACTGTGTTCAGTTTGTTGCTGCCTAGAGGGAGATACTTTGCCTGTATAGTGGCAGTGCACTATGATCACCTAGCAAAGGGTTCTTTGTCACTTACTTCCATGTCAGGCCTAAGCATCTTTTCTTTTTTAAGGCTTCCAGATAAAGTTTACAAAAGTGAAATGAGCCATCATGCTGGGAAGGCATTTGTTTTTGTTTTGGGAGTTTGTACGATTTCTCAGTGTGTAGGTCCAAATTGCTTTCTATGTGAAAACACGGGTTGCACAAGCAGGTGGTTGGCAGAAGACCTGAGCTTGGCAGGAGCTCTGAGACTCGGGCTCCAGTGGCTGATGGAGATGGTGAACACTGTGTTACCTCCTGGGCCGCATGTGGGAGTAAGAAGGGAAAGGAACATTGAGTGCGCTCTCCCCCGCATGCTGTGGGTGGAAGAGCTGGGGACACCAAACCGACTCCAGCCCTTTTTTTCTTCCTGTAGTGTCAGTAAACAACATTCTCTGGGTTTTTTTCTGCTTATTCCTCAGCATAGCAATATTCTTTAGAAGATTGTATCAGTAGCAACCTTCATCACAAAAAGGCAAACTTGTATAGTAATTTGCTTCTGACAAGCCACTCTAAATATTCTGGCTGACAACAAAGATAAAGCTGACCAGGACGCATGTATTTACAGCAGTATAGCACAGACGAAAAAATAGTGCATTGATATAGAGAGAAACATTCAGACTTCCACAACTAAGTGAGTGCTGGCAGGCAGTCAGAGTGTAGCTCTCCGACCCATGGTGTCCCTTGATAAGAATGAGAGATTGCAACTGAATGTAGTGCAGGAAAATGTCAATTTATGGAGACATCCTTATTCTGGGTACTTAATTTGGTTCTGCCTCTGAGGAGCTCATAGCACAACTCAGTGTAAGAAGAAGCCACTTGCTCTCTTCATTTAGAAATTCTTATGGAATTGAACAGAAACCCTGTGTCCAGAGAGCTCCTGTGTTTTAGAGACCTGTCCTCTCCTCCTGAGGCATCACAGATTGTTTTATTTGCAGTCTCTATGGAGGGGGAGGGGGGGTGTTATTGAATGGAAGACACATTATTTTTGATTCTCTGATTAAGTCACTCTCTATGTGAACTCCTCCTGCAGCCAGACTTGAAAATGCAGCTCAGTACCCCTACCAAGCAGTGGTCCTTTCAGAAAACGTGCAGTTCATAGGGTTCATTATTTCCAAAAGAAATAGCACTGCCTTTGGAGACAGAGTGCATCTTGGAAGTCTTGTAAATGTTTACAAAGATTATTTGAACATAACACTCCCACAGCAATATGTTATGTCAGTCATAAAGAGCATTTAAACATCAGACTCCCACAGCAATATGCTGTGCCAGCCACAATTCCCAGATGGGAAGCTTTCAGAGACGGCCACTTGGGCGGGCCAGTGACTGTGGCTTTGTCCAGGTCACATACGTGACTTCAGAGACACCAGTGCCCTGAAACTCTGCCCTCACAAATGCACAGGGAGCACTGCAGATACTGATCTGTAGAGTCCTCTGTGTGTACAGCTAGGCATCAGAAATGAAGGCTTTTAATCCAGATTAAAAGCTACTTCTAAAATCTGGCTTCTCCAACTTTCTTGGTAAATCGGAAGCAGAACCAGGAAAAGAATGTAGGAGGCCTGACTCTGTTGGTTATTTCCTGTTATAATTGCTAGACTAAACTTTTGATTTATTTTTATTTTAACTTTTTGACTGTCACAGCTCCCTCCTCATTCAGTGACTCTAATTAGCTTGTTGGCAAAGTTACAACACTCTCTGTAGGTGTTTTGCCATTCTGCTTTATGGATGTTTACACGTTTCCCTAATAGATATTATTTTCCTTCCCATATCTTCAGTTTCCCAAGCTGTGCCCCACAGGGAATTTAGACTTACAAACAAGCAAGCTCATTTTCTCTAGTGGGAAATATCATCAGGAACCACTGACAGCAGTGAAGGCAGTCCTCCAACTCCCTCCACCCTGCAGAACCAAGCAAAACAGGTATTTGACAGCATTTGGTAGAAGGCAAAATCTGAGTGTGATACACTAATGGCGTGGGAGATCTGAGGCTGGGTATTCTGGTTTGTTTGTTGTTGGGGTTTTTTTGTAGCTGTTGGGTTGGTTTTTTTCTTGATTTTTTTTTTTTTTTAATTCAAAGTGTCTGGCTCCAGCAGGAGCACAGCTGAATTGCATAAACATTTCCAAGAAGCAGCCTGCTCCTTGGCACAGAAGCAGCCAGCCCTGCCCACAGGGTGCTCGAGCACCCGGTCACTCTGCAGCTGAGGTATCTCAGTGCTCATTCAGCTGGAGGGCAAGAACTATTTTCACCAGAGGTTTTTTCCTAACTAAATGCCAAAAGAGAGCAAGAAGACACTTTGTGTCGTTTTGTATTAACATAAAAATCTTTACTTTATAGTAAAAGTACTCTCCTATTCTCTCTCCACTCCAGCTCCATTTGAATGGTGGTTAATAATAGGCTTTGGTTGATGTTTAGATCCTGCAATTCCTGTACTGAGCATTCCCTTCTTACTCTGTTTGCAGATAGAGATTTATTTATTTATGTGCAAAGTTAATCTGGAAAGTTATGCTCCTTTTCATAATGGTACAGTATTTTGTTGTTACCATATTAAAATACACTGTCCCATTGCCTGTAGGCCCAGGTAAATCTTTGACCTGGTTTCAATCCTTGGCTGCAAAAACTTGGTGTGTCTGCATTTGGATGTTTCAAGGATTTACTGCATCCTGGACAGGATCAAATCCAAACAGATTTTGCTATGAGAACCAGAAACTAGACATTGCATGAAGTATGTCTCAATGTCAAGATGTAGGTATTAGGGAGTTTTGTGATGTTTTGATTTGGACAAGCACTGACACAACTGCCATCACCTTTGCAGGTGTACCTAGTCAGTGTGTGTGTGTTTGCCTTGGCTGGAAATAACCAGTGTACAAAGCCAGTGAATTTTGTGTGGCACAGTAACAAAAATTACCTCAATATTCCATCCCTCACTGACACCCAGCTGTCTCTATTTTTCATCTTCTTTCTTTCTTGAGCCAAAACCACAAATTGGCCATCATAAGATTTTAAAAGTGTTTAAGTTGAGCTTTTCTGCTGGTAACTGGCCAGTCCAGCTCTCTGTCAACCTATCAGAGAGTGCATCTCACGAGGGATCTGCCAAATCACTCGGCAATGACGTACATAATAAAGGACTCTCTGCTTTCCTTAAACAATTCCCTCAAAGTATCAGTTTGCAGCGTCAGCAAAAACAAAACATGCCCCCCTCCCCCAACATGCCCTGCTTAAAACTAGATTCACTATAAACAACATGAGGCTGAGTTTCCTCAAAGCAAAATGCAGAGACACAATTGAATGCTTTTCTTCCCCTCATCTCCCCCCAAGTTTGTTTTACACAGCTGAAAGGGCTCTGTACAGCGCAGGAAAAGATTAAATCAGCCTAACATTGGTAGGTGGATCCCCTTCACAGGAAAACTCTGAGGATCTGCTTGTAAGCATGCTTCATGAAATGAACAGAAAAGGGTAACAGCAAACAACAGCTTGATGCACTGACTGGCTCCTGAGTGGTTTGTGCGAGTGGGAGGGTCAGAGCTGTATTTTGAAATGTGAACGCTCCAGCACTCTCAACTGAAAGTCAGCACAACTGGGAGATGGCATTAAAAATGCCTTATTACTGTTGTTGTGTACTGCTGTAGGTGCCTATCATATCTTTTAATAAAGAGATGATAATGCATCCCTAAGAGGTTCAATTAGAAAATTAAAAGTATAAGGACTGATTCAGTGTACTGGGTGTTGTGGCATTCTAGTTCTGAGGCTGCAGCAAGTTGCAGAGTGTTGGGAAATTCACAGAAGTGCTCTGACCTGTCTCAGCTCTGTGCATGCTGTGTAAAGAATGAGGACACACTTGCACACTTATGCTGAAATGGCACATAAAAGGGAATCTTTGGATTGGTCAACTTTTTTTTTCCCTTTTTCCTGCCTCACTTTTGTGCTCATCTAAATCTTGAGTGTCAACAGAATACAGAGGCAGATAGGTGATGTGTTTAGGAATGACACTGCTGATGTCTGACACCAAAGACTTCTGAG